TTTCATATGAGTGAGCAGAGGGTTTATGAACCTTAAACATGTATGCATCTGAGATAATTCGGTATGTATCCAATCCCAGGTCATCAGATGTACATGACACTGATCCTGGCAATGCTTGGTAAGATCGGGGCTGCTGCAGCTTTTGCAGTTATTTATGTCTGGTCAGCGGAACTCTACCCCACAGTGGTCCGTAACGTGGCCATGGGTGCCAGTTCCTCCTGTGCACGTATTGGCGGAATGGTGTCCCCTATATAGCAGACCTCGTGAGTCTTAACAATCATGTACATATTAAAATTAACAAAATTTCCTATTTTAGCTAAAATTTCTAGCTTACAATCTCTCATCTTTAATTAGGAATGCATTTTGGTAAAGGACAATGAGAATAAGTTGTTATAATACATGTACATTTGAAGTTTGAAAGGCGATTAGTCTCCCCAACAAATTATTTTCTATTGTTAATGTTTGTATAGATAAATACATAATACACGAAGGCAATAATATAACATCATTTCATATTCCTTTATGAATATCTCTGTATGTATTTAGAGTTTGTTGGTTGACGGTCATTTTGGACAAGCTCTTCCTCTAGTCGTGTTTGGAGTTGCTTCAATAATAGCCGGACTGCTTTCACTGATTTTACCGGAAACACTAGGAGCCAATTTACCAGAAACCATTCAAGATGGCAAAGATTTTCCTAAACCAAAGTAAATATTTAATATTCCATACCAAAGGAATCCATTTCTTTGAAAATGGAAATAACCGTCTTTTCTTGCTTGAATGAATTTTGTTGTTGATTTACTTTCTTTTTCTCTAGGCGGCTAAAAATTTACGAGGCAGACAGGTCTTCAAATGGTTACATGAACGATGGGTTTACTGTCGCTATGACGAAATTCTACATTAATAAGATATTAAACATGTAGCCTCCTACTTCATAAGGCCATGTTTTCGTCTAGCCTGCACTTTCACTGACTTATGCATAATCTAAAACAATTTCAGGGGTATTATTATCAAGTGTATATTAAAGTTTTTAAGTTTAATTTTAAAATTGCTTCAGAATGTTCAGTTTACTAGTATAGTTTTTATTGTAAAGAATGTTTTAAACGAACGATAAACAAATAATTCACATTTCATTTTCATATATAAAGGCGAGAAATACAAACGTAAATCAATAAAACTGATTTTCCCCCCATATTTTTGATATGTTATTTTAAAAGTTATTTTCAAAACATGTACATGGAAAAGAAACATAGTACGTTATATGTAGGATATACATGTACACATTCATTTTATTCAAGAGTCAAAATTTCATTTTCTTTCGTCGATTTATGTCTGTTTAGTTTATAATTCATTATTATACATGCATATGTTGATCTTCACTGGAATATTTAGCATAATGATTTATATCATTTTATATTACAATGTTAATATACAATGTTTACATATATAGATTTCTATAATTCACTGCATATTTATGTGCAGAAAGACAGGATGGGATACATTTCCCGCCCAAATTTGACACAAATTTTAATTTCGGTTGGGATTTAATACGTTTATTGTTAAAGTCCCTTCCAAAACATACACTGTACATATATATTCATGATTACCGGGTATGCAAAAATTGTTTGTTTTAATATAGCACTTGCAAGTTGCTGTTTAATTTTTAAAGAAATCTTTCAAATGTTTAATTACGTTTACACTTTTGTTTGATAAATGTTTTCTGTTATTTTTTATATTTATAAAAACTTGTTTTTTTTTATGAAAATGATATTTACACTGTTTGTAGTGGCTTGATAAATATTTCAGAAAATATTGTTTTTTACTTATTTGATTACATAAATCAAAAGTACTGCAAAAGTTCTTACAATAAATCTGAATTATACCTTTTCATTGGTAATTTGCAAAATTATTTTTATAAAAATCTGATTGTACACACAAGAACTCTGAAGATAATATCAAAAAGATGCTTGAGTATCTGATTGAAAACATCTATGTTGTTTTTGAAGACCAGGCCTTTTAACAATCCATTGGAATTCCTATGGATATCAATTGCACCCCGTTATCAGCAGACCTATTTTTGTATTCATATACTAGTACTAGTAAAAGAGAATTTGTCTAAAATCTTATACGTGAAAAGAAGAAAACACTTGCTGTGGCCTTCAAGTCGACATTGAGATACTAGTATATCGACTACGTATTGTCAAATAACAATCATGGTAATTTCCGTTCCTATGTCGATACGATATATCCCGGTGAGCTTGAGATAAAAGATACCACAGACCCTGACACATCTGTTTCATCTTTGGATATTTTACTTCGAAGGATATGGAGAAAACGAACAGTATTCAATATCAAACTCCATAAAACAATACAAAATTGGAGCAGAGCAAACACGGACCTCCGAAACATCACAGGTGGGATCAGGTGCCATGGAGGAGTGAGCATCCCCTGCTGACCGGTCACACTCGCCGTGTGCTCCTTGTAATGATCAGGAAATAGCAGAAAAATCCGTCGTCAATTCAGTGTATAAATAATGGACTAACAATAAGTATGAAAAACGTCAGTCAGCATTTGTCTCAATGATAAATTGTCTTTGCTGACAAGGTCATTGTAGCGACCATAAAATTTACAAAATGATGTCTTCGAACGAGACTGTTGATATTCTTGTTTCATCAACTTGATTGTAGAAATTGTTCATACATAGAGCATGCTCTTGCGTATCGAATCAACCGAGATATATAGACTCCGTATGCAGGTGATGAAGGTATATTGCTGCATAAGTAAGGGAAGTTGACGATAGAAAAGTTAAAGTCATCACATTTATCCTATAGCTTGGTTGCTAGATTACCATTAACGTCTGTTTCAAGTAAAATATCCAAGTATGAAACAGATGTGTCAGACTCTGTGGTATCTTTTATCTCAAGCTCACCAGGATATATCGTATCGATGTAGGAATGGAATTGACCATTGTTAACTGACAATACGTCGCCGTTAATGGCAATCTAAGAACCAAGCTCTATAAAAAACGTGATCAATTTAACTTTACAATCGTCAACTTCCCTTACTTATGCAGCAATATGCTTTCATCACCTGCATACGGAGTTTATATATATCTCAATTGATCAGATACGCAACGTATGAACAATTTCTCAAATGAGATATAACGTGTTGACAAACAACTTGATGAAACAAGAATATCAGCAGTCTCGTTTAAAGTCATCATTTCCTAAGTTCTGGTCGATAAACTGACTTTGTCTGCAAATACAATTTATCATTGAGTCAAATGTTGACTAACGTTTATCATACTTATTGTTAGTCCATTATTTATACACTGAATTAACGACGAATTTTTCGTTATTTCCCGATCATGACAAGGTGCACACGGCGGTTGTGAACGGTGAGCAAGGGATGCACACTTCTCCATGGCACCTGATCCCACCTCTAATGTTTTGGAGGTCCGTATTTGTTCTGCTCCTATTTTGTATTGTATTATGGATTTTGTTCTTGAATACTGTTCTTTACTAGTATTTTCACACATTACATAGGTAATCAGAAACTCAAGCATAATATAAATATATTATAATATCAGTTTCAGAGAACTTGCATGTACAGTTAGTATGAATGTTGTAACACAACAATTTTCAAATGACCGATGACAAGGAAGCTTTATCTACAAGTTCTTTTTTTTTTGAAAATGCAGCTGTCTATGGGTGTCAAAAATCCTTGGTTCAATATATCGTGGGGAATAGTTGTTTAAAGTCTTGAGAAGTCATATGCATTTTGATGTTATCGATTTTGGTAAAATTTTGTTTTCAGATGTTCTTAATGTTCCATGAAGATTTCAGTATCCATATTTGATTTGCAGCACAGCAAACTTTTTCCGTACAGTACTCCAAAAGTTCCTCATCTACTGCTGTGATTATTTTAGTGAGGAGTAAAGAAGCTTGCAAATTGGTAGAACATCTTCTAAAATCCGCTACGTATCTTTGTAAGGATTTCTACGAAGTTTTGGAATCCAGTAAATATTTAGTAATTCGAAATACATTTCGATTGTTGGAGATATTTTTTTAAATAAATAATAAAACTGACAGATAGTTTTTAAGAATTTCCTCCTTAGAATTGGGAGTTTTTGGGTATAAAGAAGGATTAGGTACCACTTTAAAAATTAAATCCTAGATCCTCGAAAATACATGTGAACTACTGGTAGACTTACAAACAAAGACAATGACCCTAAGGTGGTTTAATTAAACAGTGTAGTAATTTTAAAAAATAAAGGGGGAGGGGGGAGTGTGTGTGTGTGGGGGGGGGAGGGGGGTAATATGCTGATACAGTTCAATGTTGGAACTATTGGAATATATCATTAGGCATATTTATGAAACCAGCTTTCTATGTGTCTCTGGTCAAGGTCAATATGGCTTACGCTGTAGGGTGTATCGCGATAAAAAAGAACCCTTGATTTAAATATTTACTTAGGCTTGTGCTCACCTATTATATAACAGGTTGTCTTGTGAAACTTGCATGGTAACATGGTGAAAATCATTGCTACCAGTAGATTTGGTTGTTTTTGAAAGCATGCAAATATCTTTTTAAGGTTGCTCCTGAGTCTCTTGAATTTTGTAAATTTAAATGTACACAACGTGCTTTTTTAAATAAGCACTTTATGTTCAACATGATCTTTTAGAATGACCTTGCAAAATGCAAATAATATACTGTAGTAGAGAAAATATCAGTCCCAGCATGTTCAAATATTTACAAACAAAGCGATTTCGAAATCTGAACAAAATTATATGTCTCAAAGTGTTAAATTCTTCACCAATATGATGATGTCTGATAAGTATGAAACTATATGAAAATTGATGGCCTTTACATAGAGAATAATATGCACCCTTTTCCATATCACATTATGTACATTTCAGTCTGAGACACCAATATCAGCCAGAGGGCCGATACATCACAGAATAATGTAAAAATAAAAACAAAAACAAAAAATTCTTCAATGTTAAAATTCTTTTTAATAAATTTGCTTTGTATAAGTTCATATAAATAGAAAAAATACACAGTGTTGTGCAATAGAAAAAATTAGTAGTAACAAACAGACGAAAATAAACAAATGCATAAAATAAAATAATCATTTAAAATATCAGGTAATATTCAACATCTTCCACAGAAATATTTATATCAAATACATTGTCCCTAAGAATGATTCAAGGAATTCATATTTATTGGCAAAGTCCAAAATGTGTCTTTTATGCTAATTAGACAAAAGTCCAAAATGTGTTTTGAATATAAAAATTAAATAAAATGACAAGGATTCTGGAAACTCATTGATGGATCTTGAAAATGAAATACGAGTGTATAAATCTAAAACTTAACCACAAAAAAGTTCCTGTTGTTTTCTTTTATTGATACACATCACATGTACCATCAGATTTTTTTGTAATCTGTATGTGAACATATATACAAATTACATCACATTATAGATCTTTTCTTTTCCTTATACAGTAAAGCATTCTTTACATAGTCCTGATTACAACCCTGTAAATCCATTCAATAAACATAAGTATGCATGTGCATTGTACTTCTAAACTACATGTATGTATACAAGCATTAGCCTCAACTTTACAATTTTTATTATATCTTCTTTTATTTTTCAATGTATATCAAATCTTTAACATCTCTTCAAGATTTTTATCCATATTTCTAACTACTGTTTATTTTATTTATTTGTTTCCCATTCATCAGTCATTCAATTAAAACATAAGTCACCAATTTAAACAAAAAACAGCTATCACAAGGTTGCTATATTTAGTTAGATCTTGATATGAGTATCACATATTGTAAGAGTTCTCGTTCTTGCTACCTTTTCTCTCTGTCCTGCAGATGATGAGCCTGGAGAGCTGCCAAAGTGGGTTTTATTGCACTACGAATAAAATCAATGTATACAAAAAAATTAGGACAAAATAAATTTAAAAAGTAGTAGTTTAGAAAATGGATTATGCATCTTATTTTTAAAAATAATCAAAGTACCTTCTTGTTTAGTAAATATTTTCCTTAGTACAATTAGGCAGGCCTAGACTTACCTCCCCTCCCTGATGATTTTGTATGTGCCCTGAACAGAGAGATCCACCACTGTAGATCCTGCCCTGGAATGGAATGTATCCCCTAGCTCTCCCCCATCAAATACAATGTCTAGCTGAGGCCAAAGGTTCTTAAACTCCTATACAATAAATTTATTTTAGTTTGCAATTCGATACGTTTTCAAAAATGTCATGTATTTAATCCAGTCAAATCTGCTCAGAAAACAATATTCTGAATTTTGATAAGCCACAAAACTGTAGCTCTCTGGTCGAGAAAACTCAGACAAACCAGAGAACTACAGATCCAAGCATTGTAAGTACATGTACCTTCAATTTACAGTGCAGCTTTTTGTTATGTGCTTTGGGTATTGTTTCTTCAATCATTTTTCATTTCTTGGATCTGTAGTGCTAGAGCTCTGGTTTGCCTGTCCAAATTTTCTCAACCAGAGAGCTACAGTTCTTTAACTTTATTTTGTACTTTTTCGACATTTTACCTGAACATTAAGTGTACTCAGAGTTGAGCTGACATTAGCACTAGTTAAGGCAATAGGGCCTTGACAGGACCTTGAAATCTCCCTCACAAATTTGTGGTCTGGAATTCGGATTCCAACAAGTGAGGTCCCTGGATTTAATTCTGGATTTAATTCCTTGGTCCTCTCAAACACCACTGTCACTGGTCCAGGTAGTAACTCAGACAGCAAATCACTGCTCACTGTTACCTTTCCCCATCTAAAAATGTAATGGAGCAATTTTAACATATTTTTCTAATTTATTATGGACATCCTGCAGACATTGATAAATAAATTTAAAGTAAAGAAAATTTTCAAAATATAAGTAGAATGAATTTAAAAAGAAAAAAGCAAATTTTAAATGAAAAAGATAAATGTATTAATATCTAAATGGTTTAATTTTTGAAAGAAATTTACTAGTATCAAAGACATTATTTTCTTGCTCTATGTTTTATTTTATTCTGAGCATGATAGAGCATATCTTTAATGCCAATTAGACAAAAGTATAATTAATTTTGATACTTTCTGCAATGAATAAATCCCAAGTTACCTATAGATAGAGTTGGGTATTGCGAAGGAAATCCATATTGCGATATATTGCAATATTTTACTTTGAATATTGCAATATATTGCAATATATTGTAGATTAATTATCATTAATAAATTTGAGCAGAATGTTTGAAATGCTGTCAAGTTCAAAGACTATTTGAATTTATCTTTAAGTTTAAAAGCGGGAGGAGGGATAAGACATTGATCGCACACCAAATTAACACTTTACTTTTAATCAAATTCCAGGTAAAATAGTAAAACAAGATGAACTCTCTTGGAAAATTTTCACATTGAAATAAAATTTTTTACAGATTATATAATCTTTTTTCATTGAATTCTTTTTTTTTTGGGGGCAACATTTTATGGGGGGGGGTTAATGAAGTAGCAAAAAATTTTATTAAAGATTAAAACAAAATACAGATTAGGCCTATATGAAAATAATTTTATTGTGGTTACAAAATAAAATTTAAAAAACCAGAAAGAAATTGTGACCTGTTTTCGTGCGTTTTGGTAATTTAGTCTAACCCGACCTAATTTCACATCAAGACGTACAATCAGGAAATGGCCTATTTTAATATATACATGCGCCTGCTATAGCATAAGGTGTTTAAAATGGCATGAAAGTTATTAAAAATAATTAAAACAACACTGCTACAAGTGAAAACATGGATGACCATTTACTTTTAATATGTACATGTACATATTGAACTTGACATTTCACCGCGATGTCGATCGTGTAGATTCAATGTGAGATTTTGAGAACCGCAATGCATACCCTGTAAAAATGTTTTATATATTTTCTTCCTTATAAATTTTATTTTAAAGTCTTATTAATTAGGTGTTCTGGGTGAAAAAAATCAAAAATTTTATTTCAAAGTAAGATATTCAAAACTGCAACAGTGAATTAATAGCTTCCACCCCCCCGCGCTCGCTCGCCTCTCTCTGTATCTCTCCCGACCGAAACTGACGAAGAATTCTTTCAACGAGAAAGAAAAAGACTTATACGTTTCCAGTTTTATTTTAACAGTTTCTACAGTAAAAAAGGTTTTTATATATTTTTATAAATATCGTAAAATACCGGTATCTGATTTTCATATCGCGATATATTATCGTGGTGGATAATACCGCAATATACCGATATACCGGTAATATTGCACACCCCTACCTATAGATGTCATTTATTTCAGCTACACTTATAGCCAATGGTTTACTGTAGTCCCTGTTTTTGATGTTGTACATTCGATCCACAGCTTCACTGTTCTGAACTAGAGCAGCTATTCCATAAATTGTGTCAGAAGGTACGGCTATCACTTTCCCAGATTTAAGACTTTCTTTTGCCATGGACACCAACTGCTCTTGCTCTGTTAATGTTATTATAAACAGATAAAGTATAATATCCATAGAAGCAAAAGATGTCATAAAAAATTAAGTTGCTAGAAAGCTTCAATATTTTTTCTGTTTGTGGAAATAAACAATAAATGAACAGGTACAGTACTTACACATTTATCAGCTTATTGCAGGTAAAGAAAACAAATACTATATTAAATTTCTCTATATAGTGCTTACTTACCATTTGAGCAAATATCAACAATCCTAGCCATGGTGTTTGATGCAATATGATGTATGTGTTTCATAAAACTCAATATTTTAATCATTTGATGTCATACTGAATTAAAATATTTTATAAACGACAAATCCTGTTTGAAGATTGTTTCACGTTGTTGCATCAGATGGGCGCAGACATATTGATCTTCGTCACTTTAGTGTTTAGAATAAAAATAAATAGCCTTTGTTAATACCTGTTTCACGACAATCCTATTCATTAAGAAGATTGCATAAACTGGATACTTAAATATAAAACACTGAGTGTATAATTTGGTGTTCCTCAAATTTTAATTAATAGACAAAAATTAAGTATAATTTAAAGATATCGGGCTCGAGATACAAAATTGACAATTAAAGCTTCATTTTTACACAGATTTTTCATTCTTGAATGTCAACAAAGTCTAAATCATGTCATGTTCAAAGCAATTTAAACACTGCAAAACTCTGTTATTTAATTTTAATGCACGGAAAACAACATGCAAAGTCCATCAGTTGCAATGTGCAAGGGTATTATGTAGGTACAATTCGCATGATTCGAAAAGCTCCAGTTTTAGTGAAAAACTTGATCAAGGACCCACTTTTCAGCACTTTGTTGCAAATGCAAATAAAGGAAATGATAAATACCTTCAGGGGGATGCAGAATCTGTGCCATATTTAGAAGAGGACGTTTATTCTGGTCATGGTAGAAAAGGTATTATTGCTCTACAATTACAATGCAAGAGAAGATTTGTGCATGTTTAATAGTAATTTTCTTCACAATAATACATGCAATAGTTTCTATTTTGTAAAACAGACCTGCATAATAGAAAGAGAATAGCTGCAGAACTGTAGCTCTTTGCTTTAGAAAATTTGGACAGATAGGGGAGAGAGGTCATATCCAAGTCATAGTGTTGTGAAAACCTTTGATTTACACTGACGCTTTTTTATCGCTCACTTCAGGTATTATTTCTTGTAGTTTATGCTTTCCCTTGCTTATAGAATGGTATCCAATAATTAATTAAATATGTTATTTCTATCATTGATACTTTAGTTACCTTTCAACGGGCCAAAAGAGACCATCGTGGTTTTTGAATGTATGTTTAAAAGATTCTCATTTTTATAACCATTACAACAACCACCTTTATGGAACCATTGAAAGGTAAATAATTTTATTAAAATATCATAAACAATAGTTAAATGTATATTCATATTATTGTATAGCTTTTTAAAGCTGGGGAAAGCATAAAATACAAAAAATAATACCCGTATAGTGATCGACAAAAAGCAGTGACATAAATTGAAAGTTTTTACAACACTTGGATCTGTAGCTCTCTCCTTTCATGTGTCTGTCTAAATGTTTTCTCAAGCAGAGAGCTACAGTTCTGCAGCTAGAAAGGGAACAAATCTAAGTCTTGTACTTTTAGTAGTACCATTCATAATTTTGGTGGCAGTAGGTGTTGTCGGCTTACTGTTCCACATGCAGAGTTCAGGGGGTTCAAATCTTGTCTCTGTGATGCATATCATTACATTTGAATAAGTACACTTTACATGATAGAATATCATGGTCAAGCAAGTATGCAATGCTCATGTTGGCAACTTCATCATTTAAATCAATTACTAGTAAAACAAATGTCCACTGAATAGGTTAGGAGACTGAGCTTGAATCTTGGTCAGATTAAGCATATTTTTCTCAGATCTTAATATATGACTTTACAATAGTACAAGAAACTTTAAATTTCTATTTCAGTATACTTTGATACATATGGATGCCAGATGAATTTCAATGATACAGAAATAGCCTGGAGTATTCTGAAAGATAAGGGATATTCCAAAGCTGAATCTGTAAATGAGGTAATATATAAATACAGTGACTAAAATAATGCACAAGAGTAAGAGCTCATATATATAAGTTCATTGATCAGAAGTAAAAGTTTGAATTGGACAATCTGTTAATCATTTTTATAAACATGCTGCTGATTTGCCATACGAGTAACATGATTATGCTATGTGCAGCTGGAAATGGAATCCATTCATCCAGTTCAAAATGTTTAGAAACATTGAAATTAGTCTATAAATGATTTGTCATTCAGCAGGAGGAATTTAATTGGTCATGGCCAATGATGCTTTTTACAAATTACCAAGAAAAAAGAAAGGGAAAATTCAGGGATATTTTTGTTGTAGGTACAAATACAATATTAACATGAGTGACTTTTTTCAGGCTGATGTAGTGTTGCTGATGACATGTTCCATAAGAGAAAATGCTGAACAGAAGATTTGGAATATGGTAGAGAGATACAAGGGATTCAAGAGAAAAGCCGGGAAGAAAAACCCACTGCGCATTGGGATTCTAGGTTACTTTTTACTTTGATAGTATCTTTTGAGAATTAAATTGAACTAATCTACTCTGCATTCATAATTGAATATCAGAAGTGTTCGGTTCCTCTCCTAAGGGTCAAATTTTTTAAGTTAAACTTAATTGTTACCATTGTCTTTCTTAGGTAACTATCTGGAAATTCTAAATTGTCATCATGTACAAAAACATATATGATAATTTTATAAGAAAAAGGGAAAAAGAAAAATAATAAGAAGGAGGAAAATTGAGAAGGGGGATACTATGTCGGGTCATAAACAGCTTTTTTCCCCTGCAGAACTTTTTTCCCTATATTTAACAGGTTGCATGGCTGAGAGACTAAAACAAAAGATCTTGGACAAGGAGAAAATGGTGGACCTGGTTTGTGGTCCTGATGCCTACAGAGATCTGCCTCGCTTGTTAGCAATGACCCCAGAGTCCAGACAGTCCGCTGGTCAGTGTAACAATAATGTGTTAGAATCCTGTTTCTCCATTTACTGTAAAAGTATTACATTTAGCGGTGTATTCTATTTAGCGATTTTGGCAGAAAGCAGAGTCTGCTAATTCAAGTACATCGCTAACTGTCTTGTATATTAACTGTTATAACTAGCAAATTCAGACAGCGCTAAATCAAATCTACGCTAAAATTGAATTTCCGCCAAATATCATACGCACCAATTGTAATACATTTACAAAATTTACAGATACTCATTACTGTAATTTGTGCATGGGGATAGCCTGTCAGTATAGCCATTTGAGTATGGAATAGACTTTATACAGAGTTTCTTTCTTGTGACATAGCAAAACTGTATTACAATTTTCAACATTTTAAGAAAAGGTAATGCCAATCTATGGTGTCTAGAACTTTCATAAAATCATATTTATGCAAGAAGAGATAGCAATCAGTTATTAGCCTTGTAAATCTTTGATTGAAAGAGTTAAATTACAAATTGATAATAGTTTTGATGAGGGTCCACTGTACAGAAAAAATTTTTACATTTATTGATATTTTACAGTAAATGTCATGCTGTCACTAGAAGAGACATATGCTGATGTAATGCCTGTTAGAATAAATGAAGATTCCAAAACTGCTTTTGTGTAAGTCTTAGGTGACATATTACATGTAAAAATATAATTTATTTAATTTCATATTATGCAAATTATTAAAATGAACCTTTGTAGAATTTTTTTGGAATACATGTACATTGTTGATGTTTTCTTTAAACAAAAGTACATTGTACCGGTAGATGTTTTCTTTAGACAAAAGTTTGTCCATAACTTTTTCTTTATATCATTTAATTCTTTAAAAAAAGTAAAAGATAAAAGAGAAAGAAGAAAGTTTGAACGATTACACAGAGCTTTCTGAAGGTTAAAAATATTAACAGTACAAGTCTAATACAA